AATAATATTTCAGATAAATATTATTTAAACTTATATATCAACAGTTTTAGCACCACAAAAGAAAAACTGAAGGGCAAAAAATGATTTGCTTTTTTTTAAGCATAAAAAACTAAAAGGTACTTATACTGAACTTTATACTGAAACTTTAAATTTTGTCTACAGCATCGACTTAATATATAATTGTCATGCCGCCTTTGGCAATACATATTTTCTAACTTTTAAAATGTCTTTAATTACTTAAATTTATTTTATTAATCGAATTATATTTAAATTAAATCAAAGAGTTTTTAAAGCGAACATAAAATACTTAATCTTTTTTTTTTTATCGATCAATGTAACGGATACTTTTTATTTCATTACTAATGCAGACTCATTAATTCACTGCAGCGCCTAATCGAAAACAAAAATCTATTTATAACTTTTTGATTCTTAAATTTCTTACAGTAAATACGTTTCAGTTGCATGATTGTAATAATTCCCATAATTTTGCTGACGACTCGTCATCGCCATTAATTTAATAAAGTTATTTGTCGTTTTTAAATCTTAATTTTTATTCAAAATATTGTTATCAAGACCATTTTATCTCTATAATTTACTTACATGCAATAAATATAAATTTTTCTTGTAACTCAATTATCACAATACAATAAAGGGAAAAAAAATAATTGTTTCATTTATCCAAATCTGGTTGAAACAAATTGGCTGAATTGATTTTCTGAGTAATTTCGTTTCGTTATATGACTTATTTCGCTTGTAACTATCAGTCATTGTTATAGAATCCTTTTCATTTCAAATTTAATTTTCAATTCTTTATACTTAATTTATTATAAAATCTTCCACATTTCAATATGTGTAAAATAATATGAAAAGTGTCCCTCTCTTTTTTTTTTCTTTCCTTTCTTTCTTTTTTCTCCCTACCTTTTTTTTTTTTTTGTACTTCTTTGTTTATCTGTTGTACAATCCTTCACGCTAAGCGAGTTTCCTCAATGGGGTAAAAACGAGACACCTTGTATTGTGTGAATGAGTTGCAAGACGAGATATCTCGTCTACCTGTTATGCATTTTAAGATGATGTAGCACGCCTACCAATAATATGTTGAAAGTGAAAGACGATGTATCTCGTCTTTTAACATTGCTTTAAGTATGAAATATTTCATTTTTTAATATTTATACAACATCCGACAGAATAAGTATAAGTAAATTAACTCACTCAGAATTGTTGTTAATGCTCGTTTTATCTAAAATTTTCGTTGGAACTACTTCGCTTCAGTGGGAGTAAACTAATATATATACATTTGAACTTATAAAGACATAAAAGAGAAAATTTTGCCTTGCACACGCTGAAATTTTAGAAATCGACTGTTGCTTCTACTTTTTGTGTAGTTTCTCATGGTATTGTGTCATTAGACAGTTAATTATTATTTCAGTTTTCCGAATTGTCAGCTAAATTTACAAATAATAGACATCAAATGAAAAGACTGATGCTTCGAAATCGGAATTATAAGGAAATAAAATCGTAAAATTTCTTCATGCGAATATTCGAGCTTAATCATTGTAACGGAAAAATGAAAACAATTTTCTCGTTTTTAATATTTAGTTACAATTTTGCTTATAACGTTGTCTTCTAAACAAGACAAAAAAAAAATCAATTAAAGGAAACAACGATATAATATTTACCTACCCTTAAAGTTTAATTATAGAACTGTCAAGAAAATACTCCTTAATTAATAATTAAAAATGAGAAAAGTTTTGAAACTGAATACAGTTGTTTTAATTTAAAAAATACACATTTGTTCAATTTCATTTTATATGATATATTTTTTCTTCATAGTAGAGTTATTTCTTCTTTACTTTTTTTCCAAAGAAAAATAACAAATAAAAAATTTTAAAAAAATGATTAATATTTCAAAAAAACATAAAATAATACAAAACTATCTTTCATAACGGAATTTTTTTTTTCTTTCGTTTTTTTTCTTCCTCTGATTTCTCAAAAAAAATGAAATTTAATTAATTATTCGTTCGTTAAAATGTCTAGTTCATGAAACGTCATGCTGAATGAAATTACATTTCAGGAACTCGAAGTTGAAACTTGTAGTTCCGTTAGGAGCGTGAACTTCCTGAATATTATTGTATAGTGATAAAGTTGCTTCTGAAATCTTATAGATCTTGAAATTATGTCTCCTGATAACTTGCATGAGCCCATAAGGATTTTTAGAATTTTTAAACTTCATTGGATCCTATAGGTTCAAAAAATTTAAATTCATTGATTTAAGTGTAATTAACTATTATCAGTAATGTGAACAATAATAAGGGGAAATATTTTTTTAATTTTAAGTTTTCCGAAGAGATTTTTATGAATTTTAATGGTAATTTAAGAGTAACACTCGTTTACTTTTTTAATCTTATTTTTTTGGACGCATATTTCCGTTCTATAGAAGAACTAAAATAAAAGAGAAAAAAATACTAGGTATTTATTTCAACACAGTAATTCATCTGAATTGTTTAATAATATCTTTGAATTAAATCAAATTTAAAAGAATTTTTTTTTCAAGAAATTTTTTTCCCAAGTTATAAAAGAGCAGTTATTAAATAGAAATAATTAGCAAGAAATCCACTGTAATTTAAATCATATACGACAGATTTTAAAATTTCCCCTGATCATGTTTTTATTTCCAGTTTGATAATAAAAATAATTGGCGAGAAATTCAAGAACTGATTTGATGGATACACTATAGTTTAAATCATTTGCAACATATTTTAAAATTTG